ATGCATGTAATGTATGTAATGTATGTAATGTATGTAGTGCATGTAATGTTGGGCTGCTACACCCCGTAAGCATTGAGACCTCTCAGCACTTTCGGGTCCTCAGAGTCGCAAGACCATGAGAGGCCCCACCAATGTTTAGGGTCTATGAGCCTGAAACCATGGAAGGTCCCAGTAAAACCAATGTTTTGGCGTCTCCATTTCCGTGGTGCTACTGGTTTTATTGGGACCTTCCATGGTTTTGCGCTCCTAGACCTCGAAAATGAAATTTTGGGACCTCTCAGCAATTTCGCACTCCCAGAGTCGCAAAAACAAGGTTTGGGCCCCCCAGACCCCCAAAGCAATTGGACCTCCCAGCACCGGTGCCCAAAACCATAAACATCCCCAACAAGGGATTATTGGACCTTTCAAAACAGACGTTTACATCGATTCTACCGGGCTTCCTCTTGGATTTTTTGAAGGCAAGTTTTTCTTTGCGTTTAGGGTTTGGAATCTCTTAGAACTCGAGTTTTGGACACGCTAGTCGCGCTTGCGGCCTGGCGAGGCTCACGCGGGAAGTAGTAGATTGAAGTAGCACTGGCGAAAATACCGAAAGTACCATTCCTGTTCCACGAAACAGGGTTGAACACGCGATTGAGAATCTACTGAAGCAACCCGTCGCGTGACATCACATGATCTGAATTGATAGGAGATGACATGACATGCTACGATATGATATATCATGACATATACGGACATGTGGTGATGTGACTTGGCATGTCACACGACGGGTTGCTTCAGTAGATTCTCAATGCTGTTTCAGATCCTGCTTCGTGTGACAGGCGTGATACGTTCGGTATGTTCGCCAGGGTTACTTTCAATCTGTTACTTCCCGCCTGAGAGCCCCAGAGTATATCTTGCATTATCTTGCAACACAGAACGTCGTGACCCCCACTCACCCTCCCCTACACCTGCCAGAAGAAGCCAACAGCAGGCGCAGTTCTCACCCCCAGGTGCATAAACATGATGTGAAGAGATGGTTCAATAGTTTTCGATAACAAGGAAGTGCTACATGATATAGCTGACTTTCACCAGGGTTTGGTTTATACGCAAAGAAACATATGCGGTATTTGTTTGATATGATATCTATCCCAATGGCTGTTTCCTTTTCTGAATATGTCACAACAATATTCCGTTACGTGCTGCTTAAGTTATGCCTATGGCATTTGCGTGTCATGATTTCGTCATTTGTGGACACCAGATGAGCTTATTTGTGTTTTCGTGCTATCTCCTTCTCAATGGATAAGCGCTTGTCACTAGCTAACAACGAACTAGTACATAACTGCTAAATCGTGAATGGTAATGTGTCCCGTCTATTCTAGTATCCCAATGTATTTCATGAATGTTATTTGAATACTGACTACTGCGTGGCCCGAGAATTTCTATGTATGAGGCAGAACAACATGAAAAGTTCAACAACAGCTGTTGGCCTACGTAATATTGTCTGGATAGTAGCTCTGACAGCAGATTAGTCGCACATACTGTTTGACTGTGAAGCTGTAGGGAATGACTCTCGCTTGGATGAGACATGGGTGTTTTGCGAACTGCAGAGGAAAACAATACAAAAAACATTTTATTGCTGTCGCCAGCGCCCACGCACGTGAAGTTGCGCAGACACGCTGCTAGTACAAACACACCAAACACGTAGGTACATCAGGGGGTGCGGGTCATACTGAGACCGTGGAATGCCACCTACAGTAGGATTAGAGATTTGCCGTGTTTGAATGATTGAATGAAGGAAGGAAGGTAAGCAGGTATCAATGTCGGCACCTGTGTGTAAGTAAATATGTGTGTCCACATGCCCATATATCTACACGAATCTATAACATCGTGTTGCCTGTTCGTGCAGTTGCAACGACGGAATCGTCTGCAGCGGGGCAGTGGACTGTGAGCTCACGACCTGGTTCTGGCCCCATAGCAAGCGGACACGCCATCCGTCGTTATGTGCAGCATGCCTAGGACCGAATGGTCCGTGTGCGACAAGCCCTGCACCGGAGTGCGCGAAAGAGCCCGTGGAATCAAGGCTCGGTTCGGAGTCGCACCTCTGTCCACTTGCTCCTTGTGTTTGCTGGAGGTTCATCCGGAGAACGGTGGGGTGCCATGCGGCTCCGAGGGGCAGGCAAGAAAGTCGAATGTGAACATACATGGGTACGTTTTTGGCAGTTTCTGACAACATCTGCTGACGAGGCCACCAGCCTTTCGGAAATGGAGCATTGTCCTCCACAGCCAGGCCACCCCGCAGCCGGCAGATGATCTTGAAGTCTTGATTTACCCAATGCGGCCAATTTTCAAGGCGAGACCTGCGTTGTTCCGGAGCCAGATGGATGCTCGATCGGTTCTGCCCTCAGAGGCCCGTTGGTTGTATTCCTGTCTGTTTATAGCCCTTGTCAGCCGCTTGGTGATCGGAGTGTGAGCTTTCTCTCCTGCGTTCGGATGACGACCGCATGGCATTCATTTTGCCGTATTGACAAACTTTCCGAGGTGACTGGTCAGATTGGTCCGAGTGTTCTGCGACCTGCGATGGTGGCCAAAAGTCCCGAAGCCGGGAGGCCGCATCACTGTCGCTGTCGCTCAGGGTTCTGGTGTGATGCGCAGCAGTGCAGCTTAGAGTAGCTGGTGGCAGCCGCAGGCTTCGGCAGGCGCCGATGGATCCTGGTATCCGTGCAAGGCCGTTTCGCAGCGCCCGTGCATGGGTTCCAGCTACGCCTGCTCCGCTGCTTTGCGAGGGCGAGCTGAAGCAGACGAGTCCTTGCGCTGCAGACGCCTGTGGTGCAAAGGCAGGGGATCACTCTCAGAGTCTCTCAGACGTGCAAGATGCTTTCCCCCTTTCGCCAGGAGGACTGCACGTATGAGGACTGGACAAACTGGGGAAATTGCACCAAGCTGCATCCCTGGCACTGTCTCATGCAGCGTATTGAGCCTGCAGTCGTTGCTGACTCCATCATGCATTCAGCATTTTGCTTGCACGCTGATGATTAAAATGGAAGAACATCCATGCTGAAATGACTGATCACAACCCCCGACTAAGCCGAAGCAGCCGCGATCCTCGAACATGAACTCTGTGTGTTTCTTTCTTCGGCACAAAGCTTCACAGTCCTGCTTGGTTTTGACTCCAACTTCCGCTCCAAGCAATGGCCTACAATGCTCCTTTCGCCACAGCCCAAGTGGTCTGCTCCTCAGTCGACCGAGCGTCCGTAGTCTGCCGCTCTGTATGAGAAGGCAGAAGATGCCGTCTGCCTGACTTTCGCAGAACAAGACAGAATGGAGTCTGGAGGCGGCGGTAGGCCAGAGACCTGCCCGCCCACCCGTCACCACCTCAATATTGTAGGTTTCCCCTGGCAAACCAAGCCTGTGGGACCCGAGAGTGATAACCAAAATCAAAACCGCGCTGCTGCAGCTGCGGAAGAACGATGTTTGCATACATTGGCCTACTAGACGGTGGGGTTCCCAAATAGAAGCAGTTCCAGCGTTGCACTTTTATGGTATGGTAAGTCGAGCCAGAGCAGAATATTGTTTCGGAGCAAATCGTAGGGAACGCAACGGCCGAAGACTGCGTGTTTCAAGCGATGCTTGCATACACACCCATCCAACACGTGAGCAAGGATCACCCACCTTGGTACCACGAGAAGTCCCATTGGAGAGTTTCTGACCGGTTTGGCAGGCTGGCGCTTTCTTGCAAGCGCCTGCTCAGTTCATTGCGCAAGCATCCGAAGCTGACAAACGCAGAACCTTGTCCGACATCATGCTCGATGGCGGAGGATATCATCAGGGGTACCTCAACTATAATAGTGCCCGAGCTGCATGTTCGAAAGGCAACTTGCAAGTCAAACGTCGGTATGTGCTATTTCTGTTGCTAAGATCCGTCCCAGGTGCGAAGGAAACTCCGGCCAGGATAGCACGACGCCTCTCACAACAAAAGCCGGTGTCCCAAGTGCAAAAACACAGCTGACGATCCGGTGAGCGGGTGAAACGTCAGGTTGGGCTTGACGGGTCGATTCCAACTCGAGGAGAGTCTGCAGAGAGCAAGGTGGTTGAACATTTTTCGAGCCACAAGCTGCAGGACTTTTCCCGCGGCAGCCTCGGATCCTATGCTGGAGCTCTGCTTTTGCAGATCAAGCATGTTCTGGATTAAGGTCCTGCATCCAGGAGAGGCGCTCCGCCGAGTCTTGCGGAGTCTCAGACTCCGGAGAAGCCGCAAACTCCGCCACGAACTGCACCCTCCGGAGCTGGAGTCTTGGGAAGTTCAGGCATCATGTTCCAGAGCTTCGTCAGTGGCCTTGCCCTTGCAAGTGATTACTGGCAGCAGCCGCGGATTGATTCTTGGCGAGTAGAATGTAGTAAGAGAGGGGCAGGTAAAGACAAGTTCATAAACAAAACACCGCAGGTTTGAGGCACGCCGATCCGTTCTTTTGGAGCCCATGATGCGTTCGCGCCACACATCCTGCAGAAGTGCACCGGCACATCCTCCGGAAGCGCGCGATACGAACATTAACATTCCTTCAACATGCTGCGATCTTAGAGCGACGCGCCCCAAGAGCTTCGATAACTTAAGCTATTGGCACATTGCATGGGACGTGACCCAGCATACTTTGTGCCGCGTTCAGGAGACTGCAGCAAGCCCATAGCCAGTCCCGGACTAACCCCAAGAATCCCAATGCCCAGTTCTTGGTATGCTCCCAAATTGGCGAGTATGTTGGGCTTAGTTATACTGCATTTAGCAGCAGTATCTGAGAATCATCGTTGCTCGGAGAGAACCAGCTCAGGCCTTCGCGTCGACTTCGCGCTCCCTTTTGATCCTCGGATGCAGAGAGATGCCGACTTCGACTTCTTCGACTTCGTGGCTGGTTCCGAGTCTCGGAGTCTGCAAGGAGAGCTACGATGTCGCCAGCAGGCCCTAAACAAGTGGAGGACAACGGGCAGGATTTTCGAGAGCTCGAGCGTGCTCTGTGGCCAGAGAGTGGCAGCGTCAGGACTCCTTCCAGCGTGTCTTCCGTGACCGTGATCGGCGCCACATGGAGTGGAACCTGAAGGTCGCCAGCTTGGAGCACCGCACTGGGCAAAGCTGGCAATGCCTGGCAAGCGTCTTGCAAGGCAGAGTACTCGAAGGATGATGGTGGCCTGACGAGGTGGGCCACCATGATGAGACCAGAGAAGGACGACCGCTATGAGCCAAGTCAGATCTGCGCAGGGCAGTCGGCTTTGACCAGAGTGGGCCGGCTCACCCGTTCTCAGCCCTCTGGGACCGCGGATCTCGTGTCGCTCTTTCTGATTTCTGTTCTGCAGGGTTCACTTCCGTGAGGATGGTCCATCAACACACTGGGCCAGGCTGACAAGAGGGCCCGGCACCAAGCAGCTGCAGCCTGCGCTCGCTGGATTCTTTCCTGGCACCTCAGGAACACTTTGCCCAGTTTTCGACCAATGACTGTACCTGGCATCTAGGATTGTGTGTCGCGGCGACTTTCATGCAGATAACAAGCGGCATTTTTAGCCATCTGTGGTTACTGGCTTTATGAGAGGGAGCATCCTACGCAAATGCAGCCCTGCACCCTCATGACTCATAGTACCTTCCGAAGGAAGGCCGAATGCTAGTTGGCAAGGTGAATTGCCGGAGGCAAGTTTTCACCTTGGCATAGACATAGATCGAAGATACAACTGTACAGATCGTTGTGATGCAGCCTGTAGGCTTGAAAAAGTTACACAAAGCTGCTTGAACGTCACGGTTCCGGGGGATTTGACTTGATGGCTTCGCAACCTAAGGTGTGGTGGCCAGGCATTTCGATCACGCTCCATTCAGTCACAGCCTGCGTGGAAGCCTTGGGTGTCTCCGAAGAGCATGACAGAAGTCTCGCCGTAACACCCTGACGGCATGACAAGGTACGGCGGCGCCGAATGCCAAGCATCTGAAACCATGCAGACCAAAAGGCGCAACTTGGAGTGCCATCACCCGGCTCGAATGATTGTGCTTGACTCTTGAGGTGCCCCCGAGAGTGTGGACCACACCTATACTGGTGTGTGTGGAGTGACTGGGCGTCCTGGTCAGCCTGCACTGAGGCACTCCGCCGCATGGATCTTGTGTCGTGGCCTGTCTCTCGGCTCCACTCGCGAGGACTGCGGCGTTGGAATCCACTTCCGGAAGCGGTTGCTGACTATGACGGACACCCAGCCAGCGAACCCGCTCGCAGTGGCATCCTCGGAGAAGGCCCGGCTTCTTGGAACCCGACAGCTTGAAGGCGTCTGACACAAGATAACTAACCTGCGAATGAAAGAAGCCGTCTAAGGGAGTTGCTCGTTGAAGCCGTCGTCTCCCTGAAGCAACTGAAGAATCGAAAACACTCCCTGGAAATGTTCCAAATCATTTAGTAATTTATTCTGTTCTTGCTGCTAGGCTCGATGTCGATATCGGTCGCAAACGTAATGTTGCATGCGAGTTTTGCAGTCACTTGAGAACTCCCACATCAACGTCCCGCAAATCGTCAGTGAATGTTTGCAAGGACTGTGCTGGTGAATTGGTCGATATCGAGCAGCCAGCGCCTTGAAGCTATCGACTTGGAAGAAGCCTTTTCTTCGCAGCGGAAGGTGCCCAGACCTGCCCGAATGCGAGAGCTGCGTACCACAGGCTCAGTGACGGACACGAAAAGTGCAGAAGGGAACGCGACTTCACTCGAGGATTGCGTTTTGGGCGAGTGGTCGGAGTGGAGTTCACCGCGCTGCGAGGCGAGCAATGAGCTCAATGTAGGTCTTTTGTCCGACTGTGGGCATTGGTGCAACATCGTCAGGGCATTTGCACTCGAAGTCGTGGAGTTGCGACTCCGAGCAACGAGTGTGGCAAGCCATGCGAGGGGACAGGGCCTCAGTACTTGCGTGAGTCTTGGCGAGTGCAAGGGCCTTGGCATACATGGTCCATATGGTCCCGCGTCGCCGCGTCAGTGGCCCCCCCCCCCGCCCCAGGGATAGGGGTTTGAACAAAAATTAAATCAGGATCAAAAAAAAATAAATCAGGATCAAAAAAAAATTAAATCAGGATCAAAAAGAAATTAAACGATAAAAATACAATAGGAGCTAGGGAAGGAAGGAAGGAGGTAGGGAGGGAGGGAGGGAAGGAAGGAAGGAAGGAAGCAGGGAAGGAAGGAAGGAAG